ATTAAAACTTTTAATAATAACAATATTTCATTTAACTAATAGTTTGATGAGTTTAAACAAAATAAAATCGTAAATACTTATTTAAAATTTAAATTATAATTTAAACATTTTTTTCTATTTTTTTTCAAGATAACCGCCAATAGTCCTGGGTTTGTAGTGTCGGTGAAGATGCAAAAGATAGGACACTCCCCTCACCAAACAGAGGCCTGAACCACTCCTTAATCACTAATTAAACTCTTATTTTTTTATTAAGTTAGGATGATCTATTTTAAATATTCTTAACTATTTAATTTAAGAATATTTTATTATAATTGTCGGTGTTCTAACCAATGATGTTTAAAAACATCAATAATTTTTTTAACTACTAAAGTAATTTTCTTCTTGCCCAATCAAACTGTAAAAAAAAAAACTCTTAAAACAGCCATAATCAGCTGGCCGAATCGGGTGCTTATTAATGCCCCTTTTCGCCTGCTTTCATTAGTCCAAGTACAAGCCATTGATTAGTCAACTTAATGTTGAATCATTAAAAGTCTTTATTATTGTCTTTGGTTTGTAGGTGGAATGTGATCGAAATGTGGGAGAAGTTGAGAGGGAAGAGGCTAATGTTTGTCGGGGATTCTCACTAAACCGAGTTCAATGGATATCAATGGTGTGCTTGTTACAGTCGGTGATCCCGGCAGATAAGAAAACTAGGACTCCAAATCCTCAGCTTACCATTTTCAGAGCAGAGGTAAGTTGGGAACATCGTCAAGAAGTTTAAATAGAAAGAAAAAGAACTGCACGTAGTATATAATGGTGACCGGTTTTTTTCTTTAAGTTTCTTTGCACGTTAATGTTGGTAAAGGCACACCTAGAGAGTAATAGAACAATATATCATTGCTGCTCTTGTGTCATTCGCAGGAATACAATGCTACGGTGGAATTTTTCTGGGCTCCACTTCTGGTTGAATCTAATTCTGATGATCTGGTATATCACAGATATGCTGAACGGATCATCCGTCTGGATTCAGTACTTGAGCATTCATCGTAGTGGGAGGATGCTGATGTACTCATTTTTAACTCTTATTTGTGGTGGAGACAAGGCCCCGTGAAGTTGTTGTATGTTTGATATTGGAGTGTGTAGAATGCTGATGTGTGTATGGAGTGTAGATTGTTGATGTGTGCGTGAGTTGTTAGGGTTGTTATTGTTGTTAAGAGTGACGTATGAATAGTCTGTTAAGAATGCTGTTAGGGATTGCATTTCATTGTGAGGTTGAGTGAGGTTGAAGTCAATGAGATCCCTATATAAGCTAGTGATGTAGTTGCAGAAAACAATAATAAAACGTTCTATTCTTTTCTTCATATTCACCATTTCAACATGGCATCTTTCGCCGAAGGTCCTGGGAGGTTTTGGTGTTCTTTCGCTGCTTAAGGGTTCATTATGTTAAACAGTGATAGTCCTTCCTCTCCGATGGACTTTCTTTCGAGGAATGCTAAAGTCTTCTCCAATAATTAGGTAAATGTCGTCCTTGAGAAACAAACTTTCTTTTATGGAAGCAACAAGTTTTGCTCACGGGTCACAATCATCGTTTGGAGCGGCTGTTGACGGGATCACTGCATGTTCCGTCCCCGATGGTGCTTGATGACTCAGGGGAGGCAGTGTCGAATGATTTGTATGAGGAGTTTGTGGCTCAAGACAGTGCACTTGCGTCTTGGTTACTTTCGACGATTAGTCCATCGCTTCTACCTCAGTTTGTGGGTGTCGAGATGACGTTAGCAGTTTGGAATACAGTTCTGCAATTTTTTGCCAATCGATCTACTATTGTTATTATTAATCTACATTATAAACTTCAATCTCTTAAGAAAGGTGATGATTCAATGCGAGTTTACGTGGGATTGTGGTGCCTCAAGCTGTGCATGTAGCTAGCATTCTGAAGGGATTACTTTATGAGTATCAGCCGTTTGTGGCTATGATAACAACTATGCGAGAATCAGTGACTCTTGATGCCATCTATACTATGTTGATGGATGTTGAAACGTAATTGTCTGGATTTGGTGATTAACTTTAGTCTTTTCCGATAAGTGCTCATGTTGCTCAAGGAAATGTGTCGAGTAGATATGTGAATCAGTCTAAGTCTAAATCATTCTCTTGTCAGTCGTACTCTCATGGAAGATCTACTGGTCGAGGACGAGGTCAATCTAGGTTGCAGTGTCAACTGTGTGGGAAAAATGAATATTTTGTTGATCGGTGTTGGCACTGATTTGATGAAGACTTCCCTGGAGGTACAACCAATAGTAACTCTTATTCGAAGGACGAATCTAGTGCTGCTTATTATTCTGTGAGTGACAGTAAGGATACTAGGTGTGAGTGTTATCTTGCTAAGAGAACTGGATCTAAGTCTTTGACTCATTTAGCCCTCACACTCCTCAGTACAACTCTCTATAGGTTACATATAAGCGAAGTTTTAATTATATTTAGATATAAGTTAGGGTAAAATATTTTTTGTTTTATATAAATATAGGATTCTTGGATTCCATGAAATAAATGATTAAAATTTATTTTTTTCTTTTTCAGAAAATATTTTTATATTTTTAATTGTTAATCTCAATCGTTTATTTCATCTCATCCAACGATCTCAAATATTTGTAAAACTATAAAGTTGTACACTATGTAATTGGATGAACAACAATTATACAATGCAATTTTTTTTAGTTTTACACATATTTAAGGTCGTTAGATGAATGGAAATAGACAATTGAGACTAACAATAGAAAATAAGAAGATATTCACTAAAAAACAATGAGTTAACGATATTATTCTATTTTTATTCATCTAACTATCCTAAATCTGTTGAAAACTAAAAAAAAAATTACACTGTGTGAGTTGATTCTAACTATATGAGTTATAATTTATTTATATAATAGCACTTTTTAAAGTTTTATATACATTTTAAATTATTTTTTTGAATAATTTTTGAATTAATTTATTACAATTTTTAAATTTTATATATTTTTTAATCATTAAATTAATTGAGTAAAATTTTTCAAATCATATGTTTTTATATTGTTTATTAATAAAAATAAGTGACTAGGATGAATAATAAAAAATAAATATGAATAAGGAGGACATGCCCCCACGAATACAATACCATCAACACCACCATTGCTACAAAACTTTTAATTATGACCTAACTTAAACCTAACCTAACCAGCAATTATTAATTACATTTGCTGAGTTAATTGCACAGCACATTATCACCTTCATTTCCTTCAAACTCCATTATTACGCTTTACACATTATCTTCTAAGTTTGCAAATTAAACCCACAAATTTGTATAAATAATATTCTTACATGGCATTTAGTTGGCATTGCCCAATTACATAGCTTAACTGTTGACGTTTGAGGTGCAATCCATGAACAGTATAATAGAATATATTAATTGCTATCTGAAAAATCTAGCTGTGCAAAATTGCCTTTCTTCCTTTCTATTTTGTGTTTATATTTTTGAGGTGTAAACTGCAGAGTACACATTATCATATCATAATTAATTCGGATTTTAGTAGTTTTAGGTCGGATGTAGGTCGATTTCAGATCCAAAATAATCATGTGCAATTCGAATTCAAGTTAATACCAATTAAGACTCGAATCAATTTTGAATATCACCACTTCAAATCACAAACAGTACAAACTCAACTTGATTTCAATATTTTTTTTAAAGATAAAGTCAGGTGTTTACCTCCCTAGTGCAAAGTGCAAGGGGCCGGGCCCCCAGCACAACTAAGCACACTTTTTCAATGTCATCTCCACTTTGTTTGGGATGATTATAAAAGTGGGAGAATGGAATTTTCAGACTCAAATTCTCCATGAATGTAATTTAGCCTCTCTCTCTCTCTCTCTCTCTCTCTCTCTCTCTCTCTCTCTCTCTCTCTCTCTCCCCCCTGCAATATGAGAAGACAAAGGTGTGTGTTGAGCAAGATGGAGAAGCAGGGCAAGTGCATTACTAACTCTACTAGCCATGGCTGTAGTTAAGCTCAAGTACTGAGTTAATTCTTCATGTGCCCGTCTTCCCCATCATGATCACTGCACCTTCACAACAAGAGGCTCAGATCCACCCCATTTCTGGTGAGTTCATTAGCTACCTTGTAAGGATTATCCTTCACAAACATTTAAATTGCGGTTGTATTTTCGGTAAATTACGGTTTTCGTCGTATTTTTGGTTGCGTTTATCGCGATTACAATAATAGTGAGTGCTATTATGATCATTGCTGATATTTTATTTTTAAAATCGTATCAGATACTATAGTTGATCTGAAATTGCAAGTCAAATTAGTATATCTTATACGATTCATTTAGATAAAAAATTAAATTTATATTTAATTTTGAATTATGTAATAAAGAAAAATGGTGATTAAATGTGTGTCGAAAAATTGTTATTTATTTCATTTAAAGGAAGGATTACTATTTCACTTTGACTTGGACTGTATTGTCAGCCGAAGGATCAAGGGGATATCAAGACCACAAGATCGACCATGAAGACAATTAAACAAACATATTAACAGAAAAGTTCCACAGAAGATACCAAGACATGTTTTTCAAATGCATCACAGAAAATTGATAATCATAAGCTAAATTCAAAGGATGAATACATATGTATGCATGTATAACATTGTTGAAAATTATAGTTAACCAATACAATTCATATGCATATAAATATGTTCAGCTTTTGTACTGTAATTATCAGTTAACAATAAATAGTTCAATACAATTTGACTATATATATACAAAAATTACAAAATTATTAAAAAAAATGAGATATGCTATCTCATCTTAAGATCATTTCAAATAAAGTTTCCACAAAATGACCCATCTCAACTCCAAAGTTGCAATAACATATTTGAAAATAAAATACAAAAACCACTACAAAAGAAAAGTTCATTTCTATGAAAAAGATGATAAAAGAAAAATTATAGTAACATTCTGCTTTACACCTGCTTGGTGAACATGCAGGTTTTGGTCATTTTTGTTTTGCAGAAGATGATAAAGATTTGAAACTTATCAACTGCTTTAAAAGGAATTTAATTAGAAAAACAGTACACATCAACACAATGATTTTATGCTGTGAGTGAATATGATACACACATTACTAATTCATGTTTATTTTCCCTGCAATGCTTTTCTCTTGGGAGTCTGATGAACGAAGGCAAGCTCTCTTCTGCTTCAACCGTATCATGCTTCTGGTTTTGACACCTATAGTTTGACTAATGCTGCCTACATCAATCCTTGACTGATCCTCCTTGGATTCCACTTTTGTTTTACTCCTTGAACACGACATGTTATTATCATTCTCGATAACCTTATCCTTCTTTTGGCAATTCGAATTTTCACCATCAGCAGCAAAATAAGGACCTAATTCCGGATGCTTATTTCCCGTGTTTGAATCGACAGTAATAACTGCGTTTTGAGAATCATGGGAGCTCAATTTCTGCAGGACGTGATCGAAAACCAACTTTTGAGAGTCTCCAGCAGAAAACATCAGAAGATCGCGCATCCTAGCAGCAGGGACAGGGAGCTTGTCTAAAGAAAGTGGCAGGGAAGAAATTGCACTGCTGCCATGACAAACAGATTCTTCATTAGATGAACAACCTTCTGAAGGTGATGCATATTCCTCCCAATCATATGGAAACCCAAAAAGGAAATGGCTGCAAACCTGCAAGGGGTTAAGATCAATTATTTGGAGCTCCAATTCTTGCCAAAAGGGAGAAACAGAATAAACAAAAGATGCATTTTAAGTTTAAGCAAAGGCAGGGTTTAAAGAAGAAAATATAGTATAGTATTACTATTAGAGATATGAATGAGATGAAATTGTTGGCAAATATTAACAGGATAAGCACGAGTAGCAGCTTAGATGAAAAGCCGTTTTCAAGCGTACGAGAAGTATTGATGAAGCCGCTGATAGAAGCAGTGATGCCATCGGCAGTTTCAAGCATAGAGATATGATAAGATGATATTGTTGGCAAATAATAACAGGATAAGCATGAATAGCAGCGCAATGAGAAACTCAACCTTAGGTGAAAAGCCATTTTCAAGTGTACGAGAGGTATTGATGAAGCCGCTGATAGCAACCATGACGCCATCGGCAGTTTCAAGAGTGGTGGCATCATGTCTTTTGGCGATGGCTGCCGAGTACAACACTCTTTGTCCTTGTCTCCTGTTCGCCATCCATTATCTCATTACTACTACTATTATTAAACCCACTACACAAAAACAATTATTCATAAAAATTTGCAAATGTGTTATGTCTAACTTAGCAGCAGGGATTTAAATAGCAGCCCGCTATTAAGATAGCATCCCTAGTATAGGGGTAGTGGTGCCATCCAAGACCATTATTGCATGACTGCGATATCCGCAATCACCATAATAGGCTGGCTATGTCTACAACCGCAATAATGCAACCACAATTTAAATCCATGTGCTTTAGATAAAAAGTAAATCCTTCGTCTTTCCTACTAATGAAAAGAACAAAGAATTAAAGAGAAAGTTATCAAGGGTACCCTCTGCATTCAAACCCTCCGACAGCTAAACCTCGGTGCTTCGCCGTGCACAACCACCAATCATACAGCAATACCTATAACCCGATAATCAATTTTTATTAGGATAAAAGAATAGTGCAACTAAAGGAAGAAAGAAAAACAAAAACTTACAGAATTGAGGGATAAATTAGCAAGAGGAGTGGGGGAGGCGATGGGGACGGGGACGAGTTGGTCTGATGTATATGGTGTTTCAGAATATTTTCTTTTTTCCTTTCTTTTTCCCATTTCGATGGTTTTCTCCGGGCAGCGACTTCTCTGCCTACTAGCGTTTCAAACAGCGATGGATAGAAATATCGCCACAGCTGTTTCGGGATACCAGCGCGTTCCTCCGCCGCTAAAGACCTCAATTGCGGCAGCGAATAGCAGTGTAACGAAGAGAGCGGCGATAACGGGGCGCTACATCCGCTAAACCAATAGCTTTTAAAAAAAATATCATTCTCAACAAATTAATCGGAGATAGAGCAACAAGTACAAGGAAGGAAAACATAAAAGAAAAGAAAATTAAAACAGAGAGAAGATAACTCAAAATCTGATGACTCAAAGCCAAAATCGAAGTTCAAGTTAAGTTTCGAGTTTGATACCTCCTGGTCTGTCGGAAACTTGAAGGAGAGAGGACGCGAGGCGAGGGATAAAAAAGGAGGAAGTTAACGGCGACAGGGTTGTTTGGCAAGTGGGTCACTTTCTAAGAAATTTGAAAGAGACCAAAAATGTCTTATAATATATGATTTTAATCATTTTTTTTAATTTGTTAAAATGACTAACTAAATCGAAATGCGATCGATAATTCGCAACGCGATCTCCGGTATCGTAAATCAGTTTCTAGATTCGCAACGCGATTCTGACTATCGCATTGCGATTTTCCAAATTCGCGTTGCGATTTTCCTAATTCGCAATGCGAATACGTAAATCGCAACGCAAATCTGACTATCGCAATGCGATTATGACTATCGCAACGAGATTCTGACTATCGCAATACGATTCTAACTATCGCAATACTGAATTTCAAATTCGCAACTCGATTTCTGAATTAGCAACAAGTTTTAGTTTCGCAACACAAATGTTTTGGGTATATAACTACGCAGCAGCAGCAACTCGTAACCTAAATCCCTAAATCGCAACTCATTCCATCTCTATCTATCACTCTCTCCGGCGACATCCGTTCCTATATCCAACGACATCATTCCCCATCCGGCAACAGGTTTTAGTTTCGCAGCTCGTTTGTTTAGTAAATTAATTTACAATAATGAAATCATCTAATGTTGATCATGTTTGGATAGATTTGTGTTTTTGAGGGTCATGGGAGAATGTTCATGGTGTTTTACAATATATGCCTTTACCCATGAATCTTCAACTAAAACTGTCATTAAAAAAGTTAACTTATGAAACTCTAATGTTACGTGTTGCAAATAAATTGGGTATATCGGGGACATGAAATTATGACTGACATAAATGCTTGGTTCAAGATTAGTATCTCATATTCTCAAGCTTGGAGAGCCAAATATTATGCCTTGGAATTATTGAGGGGGTCGCCAGAAGCATCGTTTGCCCAACTGCCTGCTTATTGTCACAATTTAAAGCTAAAAAATCCTAGGTCTGTAATTCATATCAAAACAGATAGAGATGGACGCTTTGAGTTGCTGTTTATCGCCATTGGTGCTGCGGTTAGTAAATCAATATAATTTGTTGACTCATTTTTGTTAGTTACATGCATTTCACATTTAAATTATTATATTTCTTGTGTATATGATTTTGTAGATTCGTTCGTTTATTACTTGCATGCGCCCAGTTATTATAGTTGACGGAGCACATTTAAATGGTCGATACCTTGGAGTAAACTTATTATCAGTAGCCATGGATGCTAACAATGGGATACTGTCAATAGCTTACGGGGTTGGCAAATCTGAAACCTCTGATTCATGGACATGGTTGGCAAATCTGAAACCTCTGATTCATGGACATGGTTTATGGGCATCTTAGGAATTGCATAGGTCCTATTAACAATTTGAAAATCATATCCGATAGGGCAAAATCAATTGACAACGCTGTTAGAAGGTTTTTCCCATATGCTTTTCATGGACTTTGTGGTGTTCATTTGTATAGAAATCTAAAATCAAGGTCTGCTGGTATAAAAAATCACAAATGGACATACTGGAAGGCTGTAAAAGCTTATCGGGAAGTGGATTTTAATAAGCATATAAACTGTTTAAGACGTGTTTTGCCTCAGTGTGCTCAAATACTAGAAGATGTCAGGTTTGAAAGATGGTCAAGAGTACATCAACTTGGAGCAAGATATGGTTTCATGACGTCTAATAGTGCAGAATCAATCAACGCTCTAAGTCGTCATTCCCGGAAATTACCTATTACTATGTTAATGGAGTTTTTTCGAGCCTCTATTCAACAGTGGTACTACAAGAAAAGAAACCATGCAGGTATTATTTCTTTAAATTCGTAACTTATCATATATTTTACTAAGTATTATTTATTTAAATTTACAGGAACATTGGAACATCGTGTTACACTATGGACTGAAAAAAAGATAACGAAACGTGTTGTGAAGTCAACGTCATGGAGAGTTGAACCATGTTCAAACACTTTGTATGAAGTACTGGATAATAACTTAAATGGGCTTGTCGATCTAAATGCAAAGACGTGTAGTTGTATGAAATGGTAAACATCTGGTTATCTGTGTGGCCATGTTATAAAAGTTGCTCTTCGTCTAAACCAAGATGATTCAAGCGCATACGCTATGGATTGCTACACTAAAGAAGTATATCGACAGACTTATATCGAGATTGTCTACCCTATTCCACATCCTTCTGAGTGGGACATACCAGATGACTTACAAACAGTTTTGCCACCAACCATGGACAGAAGGCTACCTGGCCGACCAAAAAGTCACGATCGTATGCCGTCTAAGGGTGAAGAGAAGAAAAGATCGACATGTAGTCGGTGCAAGGAAAGTAGTAATACAAGGTTGACATATGGATCACCAGTGCCATCACAATCATATTTTCCTCTACCAAAATATAGATCCTCATCAAAATCCCAATCACAACCGGCTTCACCTTTTGGGACTGTTAACTTAGGTGATTTTTAAATGCAAACGTTGTATTATGTGTATATTATGTATGAACTTTTAACATTTTCAGTTAGGCATGTATTAGTAATTTGAGTTTGAACATTGTTATGATATGTTCAATTGTTATCACTTATTAGACATTCATTTGACTATCGCAACGCGGAAATGACTATCGCAACGCGGAAATAACTATCGCAATGCGAAAATGAAAATCGCAACGCGAATTTAGTTTCGCGTTGCGATTTTCATTTTCGCATTGCGATTCTCTCGTTGCGATTTTCATTTCGCATTGCGATTCTCTCGTTGCGATAGTCATTTCCGCGTTGCGATAGTCATTTCGCGTTGCGATAGTCTGTTTTGCATTCAACATAATGCATATTGAAATCAACAAATCAACTATTACATTTCAATCAATTAAACAAGCACAAATAATAATTATGTACACATCAATTAAACAAATCAACATTTACAAATCATCTTTTACAAATCAATTAAATAATCATAATAATAAGAATTATTTCCTCATCAATTATTGAATCAACTTTTTCACTCATACATCCATTTCACGCAGCTCACTTCAGGATTAACCTGCAGAAACCAAACATTGAATCAACAACACTTTCTACACATCTAAAACCTACAAACAACAAATTATTGAATTCTAGCTACTTAACCAAACATTTTCAAACCAAAAAGAGTATATATGTTTAACAACACTTGCATTTGACTTACAAATTGTTTATGGACACTTTCATAACGCGGATGCAGGTAGGCAGCGTCTCGCATATATCGTTCTAGCCATAAAATGCCAAAACCACAAGCCTACTGCACCTCTATCTATATCAGTGGGAGGTAGAAACTGTGTACTTCCTGTCGCCAAACGCTCCAAGCACATGCATACGAGAGGACCACAATCCCCTCTGGCTTCCTTCGTTTGTTGTGGCGCGGTCTCGTTTCTGATAACTGTAACATTGAACTTCTTTGGCTTCTTGTTTCCAGAATTAGTCCAATAATTAATTGCATCCAAGAATTTAGCCAAATGAGAGCTCCATCCCTTAATAATATCTCTCAAATCAGACAATGATATGTGATTTATCATGCTGTCATATACTATTATCTTTAGGGATGGGAGCTGAAGCTCGACGAGAAGCCATTGAGTACATTCCAAAACAGGGATAAACACCTGCATCGAAATGTAATAATTCAAATTGCGCACTTATTTATGAACACCTTTAAAATATTTAAACAAATAAATACTAACTTTATCGACCTCCTACCATGCAGGATAAAGTTTAGCTTGTCCATTAGCCAACACATATGATTCATGTCGTTGATTCTTCAAGTGAACTATGTGAAAAGACGTCGGCATAATTATATATCGCGTTTTTTTTATATTTTTCTTCAATTTCCTTACAATTATAAGACGTGTCACCCATGCATCAATATTCTATTTTACAAAAAAAAAAGACATATATTAGTGAATTACATAAAATTTAAAAAAAATTAATCAAACTGAAATATAAGAAGAAATATAAGACTTACCCCCCATCGAAATAGCCGTTGTCTTCAACCCCTAATAATACACCCCACCAATACCGTTCAATCAACAAATGCATATCATCGTTGAGTTTGTATATGTCAGCGTAACACCCTTGGCTCCGCTCATGTAGATAAAAATCAACTGCGGTCTTAGCCCAAAGGGTATTATCCATAATTGTTTCCGGTAGTTGTTTCCTCTCCACTTCATCTGCCGGAATGGTACTGGCCGGTAACTTATATGAAAGCCAACAGTCATCCATCATGTCCGGCACGTGAGGGGGCTTCTCAATAATTCGATATATTACGCCGTGTGAATCGGGCTCTAGAATGTTGGGAGGGACCTCTTCAACGATGACAGTGGCCTCTTGAACGGTGAGAGGGGACTCTTGAGGGATGATAGGGGCCTCTTGAACGATAGGGGAGGCCTCTTGAACGATGAAAGGTGAGTCGGGCTTTTTCTTACGGATTCTTCTCACTATTGGGGTGAACGAAGACGTAATGGCACGTGCACGCCGTCTGATGCGTGAACTTCGTCTTGCAAGAAAAACCCGACGTAGAGCATCCACCTTAGCGGGCCGCTAAAAATAAATTAATACATAAATCAGTAAATAAACAGACATGATATTAAACAGCGAAAACAAAGACAAATATATTTCAAACTTGCACGGTATTCACCCAAGTCATTATTATATCATTGTTCACAAAATGCATCAGATAACATTCCAGAAGTAAGCACTTATATAAACATTTAAAAGGACAACATATAGGTTTAGTGCAAGTTCAATGACAACATAAAGAGTAGTAGTTTATTCTTGAAACTTAAATTTTCAACACTGTGAAGTTAGTATTTGTCTTTTGGTTGAAGTAATGCAATTCATTCAAGTTTTAATTTGCAGAAGAAGAATAGAATCTGAAACTTAAAATCGCAACGCGAAAATGACTATCGCAACGCGAAAATGACTATCACAATGCGAATTTGACTATCGCAACGAGAGAATCACAATGCGATTTTCATTTTGCATTGCAATTTTTTCGTTGCGA